TAACCCTATAGCGTTTGACCACGGGATCTAGCCCTTTGACTTTGCACGGATGGGCTTTGACCAGTGGACCTTCCCACCCGGTTGTGTTAGGTCAGCCCATAGGAACACTTTGGAGCAACATCCGGGCCAGACCCACAGCAAGGTCCCCTCCGTGTAGACCCCACGCATCCGTTTCCCCCCTCCATGTGCCGCCGGCAGCGCCGTCCGTGAGGGGGGGCACACCCCGGACATGCGTGCCGGGCGTTTGCAACCGCCACAACACTTCCAGACTTGTGAGAGGCCGCCTACGCAAGATTTGGCGGCATGCTAGCCCCCGGAGGCCGCCGGCCACAGCCGTAGACGCGTGAAGGGCAATCCATGTAGAGGGAATTTTTCGGATACTTCTCCATCACCAAAAATTATGAAAAGATACCATCGTTCCTATAGCACATGTGCCCGCGTCGTGCAAAAAACCTCATGATTTTATCGCGCTCCGAGTATTTAGTAATATTGACGCCGCATCGTTACCGCAGAACCTCTACTACCGTGTCATCGCCGTCCATGAGGGGGGGGCACGCCCCGGAGACGCGTCCCGCCTCTTCGGACATGCCACCACACCACCCCGCATGTATGAGGGCCCGATGTGACGCTCCGGTGGCATTGCTACCCCTAGTGCCCCCGTCCCGCCTAACCCTGTAGCGTTTGACCACGGGATCTAGCCCTTTGACTTTGCACGGACGGGCTTTGACCAGTGGACCTCCCCACCCGGTTGTGTTAGGTCAGCCCATAGTAACACTTCGGAGCAACATCCGGGCCAGACCCACAGCAAGATCCCCTTCGTGTAGACCCCACGCGTCTGTTTCCCCCCTCCAGGTGCCGGCGGCGGCGCCGTCCGTGAGGGGGGGCACACCCCGGACACGCGTGCCGGGCGTTTGCAACCGCCACAACACTTCCATACTTGTGAGAGGCCGCCTACGCAAGATTTGGCGGCATGCTAGCCCCCGGAGGCCGCCGGCCACAGCCGTAGACGCGCGAAAGGCAATCCGCGTAGAGGGAATTTTTCGGATACTTCTCCATCATCAAAAATTATGAAAAAATACCATCGTTTCTATAGCACATGTGCCCGCGTCGTGCAAAAAAACTCATGATTTTATCGCACTCCGAGTATTTAGTAATATTGACGCCGCATCGTTACCGCAGAACGTCTACTACCGTGTCATCGCTGTCCGTGAGGGGGGGGGGCACGCCCCGGAGACGCGTCCCGCCTCTTCGGACATGCCACCACACCACCCCGCATGTATGAGGGCCCGGTGTGACGCTCCGGCGGCATTCCTACCCCAGTACCCCCGTCCCGCCTAACCCTGTAGCGTTTGACCACGAGATCTAGCCCTTTGACTTTGCACGGACGGGCTTTGACCAGTGGACCTCCCCACCCGGTTGTGTTAGGTCAGCCCATAGGAACACTTTGGAGCAACATCCGTGCCAGACCCACAGCAAGATCCCCTCCGTGTAGACCCCACGCGTCCGTTTCCCCCCTCTAGGTGCCGGCGGCGGCGCCGTCCGTGAGGGGGGGCACACCCCGGACACGCGTGCCAGGTGTTTTCAACCGCCACAACACTTCCAGACTTGTGAGAGGCCGCCTATGCAAGATTTGGCGGCATGCTAGCCCCCGGAGGCCGCCGGCCACAGCCGTAGACGCGCGAAGGGCAATCCGCGTAGAGGGAATTTTTCGGATACTTCTCCATCACCAAAAATTATGAAAAAATACCATCATTCCTATAGCACATGTGCCTGCGTCGTGCAAAAAAACTCATGATTGTATCGCGCTCCGAGTATTCAGTAATATTGACGCCGCATCGTTACCGCAGAACGTCTACTACCGTGTCATCGCTGTCCGTGAGGGGGGGCCACGCCCCGGAGACGCGTCCCGCCTCTTCGGACATGCCACCACACCACCCAGCATGTATGAGGGCCCGGTGCGACGCTCCGGCGGCATTCCTACCCCCAGTACCCCCGTCCCGCCTAACCCTGTAGCGTTTGACCACGAGATCTAGCCCTTTGACTTTGCACGGACGGGCTTTGACCAGTGGACCTCTCCACCCGGTTGTGTTAGGTCAGCCCATAGGAACACTTTGGAGCAACATCCGGGCCAGACCCACAGCAAGATCCCCACCGTGTAGACCCTACGCGTCCGTTTCCCCCCTCCAGGTGACGGCGGCGGCGCCGTCCGTGAGGGGGGCACACCCCGGACACGAGTGTCGGGCGTTTCCAACCGCCACAACACTTCCAGACTTGTGAGAGGCCGCCTACGCAAGATTTGGCGGCATGCTAGCCCCCGGAGGCCGCCGGCCACAGCCGTAGACGCGTGAAGGGCAATCCGTGTAGAGGGAGTTTTTCGGATACTTCTCCATCACCAAAAATTATTAAAAAATACCATCGTTCCTATAGCACATGTGCCCGCGTCGTGCAAAAAGCCTCATGATTTTATCGCGCTCCGAGTATTTAGTAATATTGACGCCGCATCGTTACCACAGAACGTCTACTACCGTGTCATCGCCGTCCATGAGGGGGGGCCACGCCCCGGAGACGCGTCCCGCCTCTTCAGACATGCCACCACACCACCCCGCATGTATGAGGGCCCGGTGCGACGCTCCGATGGCATTGCTACCCCCAGTGCCCCCGTCCCGCCTAACCCTGTAGCGTTTGACCACGGGATCTAGCCTTTGACTTTGCACGGACGGGCTTTGACTAGTGGACCTCCCCACCCGGTTGTGTTAGTTCAGCCCATAGGAACACTTTGGAGCAACATCCGGGCCAGACCCACAGCAAGATCCCCTTCGTGTAGACCCCACGCGTCTGTTTCCCCCCTCCAGGTGTCGGCGGCGGCGCCGTCCGTGAGGGGGGCACACCCCGGACACGCGTGCCGGGCATTTGCAACCGCCACAACACTTCCAGACTTGTGAGAGGCCGCCTACGCAAGATTTGGCGGCATGCTAGCCCCCGGAGGCCGCCGGCCACAGCCGGAGACGCGTGAAGGGCCATCCGCGTAGAGGGAGTTTTTCGGATACTTCTCCATCACCAAAAATTATGAAAAAAATACCATCGTTCCTATAGCACATGTGCCCGCGTCGTGCAAAAAACCTCATGATTTTATCGCGCTCCGAGTATTTAGTAATATTGATGCCGCATCGTTACCGCAGAACGTCTACTACCGTGTCATCGCCGTCCATGAGGGGGGGCCACGCCCCGGAGACGCGTCCCGCCTCTTCGGACATGCCACCACACCACCCCGCATGTATGAGGGCCCGGTGCGACGCTCCGGTGGCATTGCTACCCCAGTGCCCCCGTCCCGCATAACCCTGTAGCGTTTGACCATGGGATCTAGCCTTTGACTTTGCACGGACGGGCTTTGACCAGTGGACCTCCCCACCCGGTTGTGTTAGGTCAGCCCATAGGAACACTTTGGAGCAACATCCGGGCCAGACCCACAGCAAGATCCCCTTCGCGTAGACCCCACGCGTCCGTTTCCCCCCTCCAGGTGCCGGCGGCGCCGCCGTCCGTGAGGGGGGGCACACCCCGGACACGCGTGCCGGGCGTTTGCAACCGCCACAACACTTCCAGACTTGTGAGAGGCCGCCTACGCAAGATTTGGCGGCATGCTAGCCCCCGGAGGCCGCCGGCCACAGCCGTAGACACACGAAGGGCAATCCGCGTAGAGGGAATTTTTCGGATACTTCTCCATCACCAAAAATTATGAAAAAATACCATCCTTTCTATAGCACATGTGCCCGCGTCGTGCAAAAAAACTCATGATTTTATCGCGCTCCGAGTATTTAGTAATATTGACGCCGCATCGTTACCGCAGAACGTCTACTACCGTGTCATCGCTGTCCGTGAGGGGGGCCACGCCCCGGAGACGCGTCCCGCCTCTTCGGACATGCCACCACACCACCCCGCATGTATGAGGGCCCGGTGCGACGCTCCGGTGGCATTGCTACCCCCAGTGCCCCCGTCCCGCCTAACCCTGTAGCATTTGACCACGAGATCTAGCCCTTTGACTTTGCACGGACGGGCTTTGACCAGTGGACCTCCCCACCCGGTTGTGTTAGGTCAGCCCATAGGAACACTTTGGAGCAACATCCGGGCCAGACCCACAGCAAGATCCCCTCCGTGTAGACCCCACGCGTCCGTTTCCCCCCTCTAGGTGCCGGCGGCGGCGCCGTCCGTGAGGGGGGCACACCCCGGACACGCGTGCCGGGCGTTTGCAAATGCCACCCCACGGGACCGGCGAACGACGCGGATCGATGATGTGGCGGCGCGGCGGATCGATGACGTCGACGTAGCTATGCCGACGGCCACCGTTAGCCCGTCGGCGTAGCCTGACGCCGTCAAACTGCCGTCGCCGCCCGGGTAGACGGGCCCACGCGATATGCCGACGGCCTGCTCTATGCCGACGGCCCCCGTCGGTATATTCGGAGAAACGCCGACGGCTTATCTATGCCGACGGCCCCGTCGGCATAGATGGTTATACGCCGACGGCCTTTCTACGCCGACGGCTTTAGTTGGGCCGTCGGGGTATGCCCATATATGCCGACGGGGGCCATCGGCATAGATATGCCCGTCGGCAACTGCCTAAATTCTGGTAGTGGTTATCACTTTTTCAGGCAAATCCATCTAGAAAATAGCCTAAATTTTGTGGGACCCCCTTTTGGAATTTAGAAAATGAAAACATGTGATCTCTTCTTTTTTTGGAAGTACAATGTGTCTTCTAAGTCCTGAACAAACTTGAACTATCGACTATCTACAGTTACGCTGCACACAACAGTGCAAGCTGTTCCGTATTCAGTACCGGCTGGCAATGTATCATTAAAAAGCAATATATAATACAAATAAATCCAGAATAAAACTAAATCCTGAACAAATGTGAACTATCTACAGACTACAGTTACTCCGCAGACAACAATGCTACTGTGAGAGAGTTGATGGCTCAGAAGAAGAATGGGCTGACGTCCTGCTCCATCTTCATCACGGCCACCGGCGACAGGAACGAGGCGGCGTAGGAGTCGTCCCAGGGCAGCATCAGGGAGCCGGGGCCCTGAAGATCGTCGAGGCTGATCCCCATGAGCCAGTCGTCGTTGCCCAGCTCCCGCACCTCCTCCTTTGGCAGTATCGCCGCGTTTGTCGTCCCCATTCCCTGGAACTCCGGCAGCGAGTCCAGCTCCGGGAACGGACCGTTGTCGACATCGGACTCCGGCGTCCGCGTCTCACCCCACGAGGTCGACTGTGACGCCGCAGCCTTGGCCGCCGCCTCCTCCTCCTCCTGCCGCTGCCGCTGCATCTTCTCCCACTGGTTCTTCTTGTTGTAGAGGCGGCAGAGCACCCAGTCGTCGAGCCTGAGCGAGGCGCCGTCCCTCTTGGCGGCGGCGCCGGCGAGGCGGTACTCGTGCATGATCCAGTCCGTCTTGACCCCCGCCGCCGGCCTGCCGTGGTAGAAGACGAGCGCCTTCTTGATCCCGAGGGTCCTGCCCGCGCGCGCCACGGGCCTGTCGGCGCCGGTGGCCTTCCAGTAGCCGCCCCCGGCGGCCCGGCTGGGGCGGGAGCCGTTGGGGTACTTGCGGTCCCGCGGCGTGAAGAAGTACCACTCCCGCGCCCCGAAGAGCGCCCGCTCCGGGAGCTCCCACGGGTCGAACCGGTAGAGGTCGAGCTCGGCGATGATGGGCACCGGCGGCGCGCGCCCGGCCGCGCGCGCGCAGAGGTAGTCCGCCACCAGCTCCTCGTCCGTCGGGTGGAACCGGAACCCCGGCGGCAGGTTCAGCTCCGCCTCCGCGTCCCCCCGCCGCCCCTCCGCCGCCATCACCATTGCTTCTTCTTGCTGCTTCTCTGCCGATGAGATTCCCGGGCGCTGCTGCTGCTGCTGCGCGTGCGTGGTGGACTGTGTCGAGTGTCTCGGGATGGATCTTGGAGAACGGCGTGGGCGGAGGATAAATAGCGGGGAGAGGAGGACGGAGAAGCTTCATGGGGAGGCGTCGGGGGTCGGAGAGGAGTCAAAGGGGTTCATCTTCATTGGGGGTCGAGTCGGCGGCTACGAGAAGGAAGGAAGGAAGGAAGGGGTCGCGATGGGCGGTCGCGCGCGCGGGTACGTACCCACCCGTGCGGGCGGCCGTCGATCCTTTATCGTGCGGCGGTGGGGACGTCAACAGGCGGCGGTGGAGCCGAGAGATCGCGCACGTGTGGCGACGGGTGAGGAGGCAGCAGGCAGGCAGGCAGGCGACGAGATGGCGATGGGGGTCGCCTCGCGCCGGTGGTTGGTTGGTTCATTGAACCTCGCCTCGAGCGAAAATGTTGTGACGGCGACTTGGCCAGCAACGTGACGCCATTGCCCACCTCATCTTTCATTCCCGGGCTAGGATATGTATGTTGGGTCTGGGTGGTTCTTCTGCGGGCGTGGAGGTGTGTGGTCACGCGTGTGTGCTGCTGTGGTTTGTGGCCACGTTTGGCCTCTGGCCTAAAGATGACACCTCTGAAATGTTGGAAAACAATCCCGTGCGGTCGACCGGCCGTAGCCTCCGTCGGCCGCACGCGTGTCGTGCGATCAACGTCAATCTAGCACTCTTCGTTGCGCCACGTTGGCCGCTCACGGATAAGAGTCACACCCTCTATGTGGTCTCATCCACGCGCGTGTGTCTCATCCGCACGCATTTAGATATATTAAAACTGAGCGCCCTTCCAGCCATCTTAGACCATAGCATTTGCAGCCGTTGGATCTACAATTTTAGGTGTTTCAGCCGTCTAATTTCTCTGGATCCGGCGCTTGCTCGCTTCGTTCTTAGATATATTAAAACTGAGCGCCCTTCCAGCCATCTTAGACCATAGCGTTTGCAGCCGTTGGATCTTCAGTTTTAGGTGTTTCAGCCGTCTAATTTCTCTGGATCCGGCGCTTGCTCGCTTCGTTCGCTAAGAACGAGCCATATCCCGTGTTGGGCCGCTGCTCTGGTGACATTTTTGAGCGTCAGGCGTGAAATTGGGCCTAATGAGGCTTCTACTGCTCCCCCGTCCGTGCAGCCCATATATAGAAGATACAGGCCTCTACGTTGCACTGCTTTCTCTTTCGCGCGAACGAACGCAGCGACGCTGTGTGGGAGTGCCTCCCATGGCCACCGCGCCAGGGTCCGACCTACGGCGTCGCATGCCAACTGCCCTTCGGGTCCGATCAAGATGGGCGGGGGCTGCGGATCGTCACCTACCGATTGGATACCCCTCGCGGGCGATTTGATACCTGTCAATTCGAGACCATTCACAGGGCTTTAATGACAATTAGATGCGCATAACTCGCCGGCACCGGATAATTACAGGTCAGTTACCATGGCGCTTCATGTACTCCATGCGTGTCCATATATTCCCTCCTTCCTATCACGCATCTGGCTAGGTGCCGACCGAGGCAACGGGCTAGCGGCTGATTCCTCTCCTCCTCGATTACTGACTCTCTGTTGACGGCGCAGCAAACTAGCTGCCAGGCAAACCGTGGCAGGAGCACGACGTCACCGCTCAAGAGGAAAAGCGGTTGTGTTAGGTCAAGCAAAGGCAGCGCTAGGAGCTGCCCTCCCACATCGCGAAGGTGCCTCGCAAAGTCACAAGGAGGCCGGCCGAATGCAAATCGTGTCTTGGGCAAGCGCTCCTTTGCCAGGTACACAAATTCCAGTAAAAATATAGGGGCACACGTGGCTCCAAAGTATCCATGATTTGATTTAGATAATTCTATTATTGCTCCTGATTGTAGATGCATGAAAACGTATTGATTGAGTTACTTGAAATACTAATTTTAACAGAAAGAAGGTTTTATGTTTTTGAAGAGATATTCAGGTTGGTGCCTCCACAAGTTCTGACACGCAGTAGACATGTTGCTGATTATATTCATGGAAGATTTTGGTATTCGTTTTTGCAGCTTGCTTATGCTTTTGATATAATTTGCTGAAAAGGTGGGTATTTACTGTCTATCAATCCTTTACTGGTGCTAATATAAATTCATGAAAATCTTATGATAGAGTTGCCAGTCAGGTCTGGCAAAGCTGGGGCACTGATTTTGTTTCACCGAAATTATTTAATAATTACATTTGTGTTGTTTGTCATATATTTCAGGCAAATCATTAGCTAGATTTCGGTGGATGGGAGAACGGAAGAGACGAGGAGACTAACAATGTATTGTTAGCTATGGTTATGGTTGGTTGGCAGGTGAGAAGATGAGAACAGTGGACGAGATAATTTTCTCTGTTAGAGGAATGCCTTGACCTGAAAACAAAGGATATAACGCTCGAAAGACAAAGCAAGTACCAAGTTGGACGGCACAAATTCAGGATTTTACGAATATGCAAGTACACCATGTATATAATTTTCTGAAGTTATAATCTATTCCCAATTAGTAGTTTACTTGTAATTCGTAAGGTCAACGTGTACACCATGTTGTAATTTGACATATCCACAAAACAGCAAAATTTTCTTTCTTCCACCATATACAAGTTACTAAATAAGAGAATTCCAACAAATTTATTGGACTAATGGATGGGCGCTTGGATGGTAACTTTGGGCATTTTTTTCCGTTTGATCAACTCATAATCTCGGGCTTTAGTTGACAGAAGAATGCTAGAGGGACCGGTTCGCTGCTCTCATAACAAAACTGAAACTGTTATGTTATTTTGACTCCATGGGCCTTCGGGGTGTGAGCATCAGTCGTGCTGTTCTGTGAATCGTTTCCGGACCGCAACTGTAATACTCGTGGGTGGATTCATGTGAGTCATCTGCTCTTCACAAGGAGTAACAATTCTTTTGAGCCAGACTCACAAGTAGGCGAACCATTCGTGTGAGGTGAGCAACCTAAGCCTTGCCACGTTGAGGAGAAGCCACAAAAACGTCTGTATGTGATGAGCGATCAAATGAAAGTCAGTCCTGAATCTGACATTTTCCTCATCCAACAACATATACCTATACCCCACAAAAATAAAATACCTATAAAAATCCCCAAATATTTTTTCGTCAATAACTAACATGAAAAATAATACTGCTTCAAATAGTTTTATCAATTACCAACATTAAAGTGCCAAAATTGACTGGCGCAGCAATGCGCGCCTTCAATGATCTAGTGTCTTTTATAAGACTCGTCACCGCTCTCCCTCTCTTATCTTCCAATAAATCGTTCTCATCCACTCCTTTCTTCCCTCCCCTCATGAGTGATAGAGCGAGTTCTGCTCTACCTCGCATACTTCACCAAGCACACATCCATCTCTCACTTCCGCCGTGCCTGCAAGCTTGTATTCATTTTCCACAGCAGCAAGCTCCCGCCCACTTCCTTTGCTCACCCCTACCGAGGTGTTGCAACCGCTGGTATCGAGGAACGTCGCTACGGTAAGACGGTGACTGTGTGGGGGATGCGACAAGCTAACCGGCGACGTCGAGGTGCTGCGGTGTGGGGGAGGCAGGCGTGGCTGTACTGGGTGATGTTGTGATGGGTGCCTCAGAGTTGTGACTAGGGGCGGAGCTGCACCCCAAGCCTGGGGGTGTCATGGTATCAATATAAGACCAAGAGTGTCGGAGAGGGCTCCTGTGGGTCTCATGCAGACTGATGCCGTAACTGAGTGCCTGGCAGCATGGGCACCACATTCCACCCGTGGCTCTCCCATTCCATGATTTTGACATTATCATTTTTTGGAAATTTTCTGGCTCCGAAAAATTATTTTTCTTCGCTCGTCTTCTTTTCTGGTTCATTCAGGATGGAACTATCACTTCCTGATCGTTAGTTGCAACTTGCAAAATATAGGGAAATATATAAAATTTGTGACATAATGTGCAAAACATGACTAATAATAAGCAAATTGTAATAAGAAATGATGATACAAAATAGAGATATAAGAGACATAGACGAGCGACGGTGGCAAGGGAGTTTGACACAAGAAGCGCAATACAATACCTGGTCGTCCAAAAGAAGAAGAAAAATTCTTGCTCTCCACGTATCCGAGCTACCCAATACATCTACATAAAAAAACTTGAATTGCAGTCTATTTCATTGTTTTGGTTGATTTGATATTGCGTCCCAATTCAATTATGTGGGCTGAATACATACACCCAACTGAAGCTCAAGGTTTTCTTGCGCTTCTG